GACGATGAGTGATCCGCCGGCGCCCGCGCAACCTTCTCGCCGCGAAGCCTCATTACATACTAATGTCATTTAATAGAAACTGCTATTTGACAGTGATTCAGTGATAATTCGTGAGAAAGCAAAACCGCTTGGACCAATGCCGGCCTGTCCTTTATCTGTCTTTGATTATAGAGAAACGGACTAAGCAAAGAAACGTTATTTTACTAAAGCAATTTATCACTCTTGGCGTAGGTAAGCTACAAATGACAATCACTAAGTAAATCATGCTAATATAAATTTTAAATAATTTTATGAAGAGACTGAAAAATGTACACACGTCAAACACACATTTAGAAAATGTTCGTTTTAGTTGAAAGGGCAAAGTGTGTTCTTATCAGGTCCTGTCTTTTAAAATCAATGGAAAACTGCGCAGACTAATGCTGGCGTGTTGTGTATGTGTTTGCTATTTTAATCTAATTGTAAGGTTAATTATCATGCAGGATAGTGGTAGTGGACATAGTAAAATTTCGTCACACATCGACGGAATCTATGTCACGATTTGAAAACTAGCTTTTTATGCTCGAATCTTCATTACCTTGTAAAGTGTATAAAGATGGCAATATTTTCTTTGGTCAGAAAACAGGGGTTTGCTTTCAAAAATGATTTTCTATCAGTAAAATTGAATATGGTGTTAACCTAAGTCTTCATCTATAACTATACTAATATTATAAAGAGGAAAGATTTGTATTTTTGTATGCCTTGAAATAACTCAAAAATACTGAGCCGATTTCAAAAATTCTTTCACCATAAAAAAGTTGTGTTATTAGTGAGTAACATAGGTATCTTTACCATATACCTTTTATTATTTTTTAATTTCATGCGGGCGAAGTCGCGAGCAACAGCTATTCATTAATATTTTCTGATTCAATTAGACAAGAAAATACATTGTTATAAGTATCATATGCAATAGTATTTGTTACCTTCAATAAATCGTAAGAACCAATCGAGGACACGAGCGATGGTCAAGTAACATCATTACCATTGCCCGTGATAATAAAACACCATTTTAATAGGAAGTAATGTTATTGTGACTGCAATACAATGACAAAAAAATCCGTAGGACCGAGAACTGTAGAGTAGATACATGTAAGTATTATATTTAAATTTCTACACATAATCTGTCTTATCTTTTATGCACGAAATTAAAAATAAAAACATTCCTAAGTATGCGAGGTCAGCAATAAATAAATGATAAATGCTTTTGTGTAAGTTTTTAATATGTATTTCCTTCGTTTTATCTAATTAGCTTCCGTGATCATAACGTTTATAATAACCCTTATTCAGCATCTTCATTGAAAGGGAAAACAGTTTTACTGCTATTTATATGTGTATTTTATAGGATCCGTCTCAACGAGGAAAGTAGTGAGATTTTAAAGAATGCTGGAAGTTATTATGGATTATTTACACTCCAATACCGCATTTGGAGTTAATTAAAATTAGCCTTTGAAGTATTGAGATATTTTGAGTTGTTCCTATTAATGTGGAACTGGCATTCTACAAAAGTAAGGCGTATTTTTAAAAATTAAAAAATAAGTAAAGTTTTTACCATTTACAATTGACGAAATTGACATTTTACAATAATTAAACTTTTCAATTACCTACAACTTGTTAACAACTAATTTATTGACAGCCGTAATTGGCAGTTGTTTCAATTTAATAGTAAACATTTTTTTTAATAAAGTTAACATTAATTTAAGTGTAGATTGCAAGACGATTTTTGCATATTAATCAGTAAATGACGCATTTATTGAGAACTCTTACTGCGGCCGTTCTCAAGGCAGCGGATCGCGTGATAAATCATACTTCTTTAAAACTATTTCCTACAAAAACATTAAAATGATTTACGAGATCGACTTCCTTTGCCTTTTTAAACCACCCAGAAGGGATTAATTATTCTTTTTAATTATTGTTTACGACTAAACAAGATAGTAGTTAAAACGATTAGCCGGTTTTATTTATGATATAGCGATCTTACTTCTTGCTAATCTTTCTAACATTATAAATGTGAAAGTTTAGATAGATGGTTGGATGTTTGTTAGAGCAAACGGAATTTAGTATAGATGTAGAGGAAAGGCTACTCACTTTTGTTTTTTTTTAAATTCCACGTGGACGGAGTCGCGGGCGAACGCTAGTAATATCATAATAGGTTATAGTTTATTTACTAAAATTAAGTACCTACTGTATGAACTATATAAAATATACATTACTTTGGGCCCTAGTTTGACAGTATAAGGTATCCAATAAGATCTATTTTTGGTATTACATTATTATTTGTGATGTCTTTTAGTGTTTTCTTACCAGAAAGTTGTTACTCGTTATTCGTATTTTGCATGGTTTATGATGGACTGATGTTTTTAAATAAAATCGATGATTTCATGTGAATTTAGTCAAGGTATATTCAAAATCTAAATCAAATCAAAATAAAAAAAATCTACTATATCCATAAACTGTATTTTACTACTCCATGTATACACGATTGTTGGATTTAAATAAATTATTTTTTTCATTTTCATTAACACTCACTAGACCAGCATGGATAACTATGGCCTAGTCACCCCTAGCTAGTGAACTGCTAATGACGATTAAAGTATGTATTCAATTTACCTAATTTATTTGATTTACTTCATGTAACTTGTTTCTTATTAGACACATTTATATACGTGAACGAATCAATGTATCAACAGAGATAATGTGTAACAGTGACATCTTGTTAACATTTCAATTGTCTAATCAGTTTAGAGTTATTTGGCCGTTAATTGTTAAAATGTAACGGTTGTCATGTTTACATCACTTCATTTACTTTATCGATTGGTATTTATACGTTTAAAATTGATTTATTTCAGTCTCTTAAAAAAATGCTTCACGGATTTTACAAGGGTAGGCTAAAACATTTAATTTGTCGCAAATACGATGACTTGTATTGACTTTTCGAAACAATCAAAATTATGAAAGTATTACTTAGAAAACATTTAGGAAGGGTTTTAACAACAAATTCCATATAACATGGTAGCATGGACTCCAGTTCTTTAATTATTATAGAAGTGACAAATAATAGGTAGTTCAAAATTTGGACAATAGGTTTGTTTGGGGTACGTAATTTTAATTTCTGATTTTCTGTTTCGTTTATTAAATGTTAATATTTTGTTGTTCCAGCCCTGACCCAGTATCATGGCATTACCGTAATAACACGTAATCAATGGAATTATGTCGTTACATTACGCCGAGACAGATAGTGTCAAACAAAATAAATACCACTTTTTTCTGTTAACAATATTCAGCTTTAGAAATTTTTCATATGCATTTGCAAGAGCGATACAATATTTGTAAAATATTTATTAATACACTAGCTTTCGCCCGCGACTACGTTCGCGTGAAATTAAAAAAAACTAAGTAGCCTATGTGTTCTTTCAGACCATACTCTACATCTATGTCAAATTTCAGCGAGATCCGTTCAGCCGTTTAGGCTACATCCATCCATCCATCTAAACTATCGTATTTATAATATAAGAAAGAAGTAAGAAGTAAGATTTCCAGCTACAAAGGAAATCTTCATTTGTTATAGCGATTAATCGAAACAGTCTACAATGTTTGTTATAAATTATTAACGCTATAAATGTGTTAAAAAATAATACAATTGTTATTCACTCACCATTGCCCATGTGAATGTTTTCACCATTTTCAAATTTTATTTTACATTCAACACAACATAACTTTAATTTAATATGCACATAAATAACATGTCTGTTTTTATTTATTGACGATAGAATAGTTAAGGTTAGAAAGTGATCATTTTCCCGCCATTGCAAAGTTTCGCGCGCGCGGTTCCGTGCGATTTGCGCACGTCTTTCGTCCTCCGTCGACGCTTGTATACTGCTGATGTGCTGATGCCGATTCCCTAGTCAGCTAGTCACCAAAATGTACACTTGTTTTTTTTTACTTTATTTACAGTTCTTATATAGAAAAAAGCTTGAGACTCATACAGATTATAATGAAATGAAAACTCAAGTTACATCCATATATTCAACAATCTTATTCGCAAATCTTTATTTTTAAGATGATACGACGAATGGTGAACGAAAATCATCCAAAGTAAAATTAATTAACATGCAATATAAAATGCTGAGGTTAGTTCTTGCAACTAATCAAGGATCCTATTAGACATGGAGCACAATTTCAAAATTGATATTAACCATTACGATTAAGATTATAAATTATTTCTAGAAATGACACAACATTTATTAAACAGTTGGCGTTTTTCCAAGATTTTATAGACAATTTCTTCAGTGGTTAAAGTGGCTTCGAATCCTAAATTTCGACGTTTTTTCCCCTTAAATGTTCTAAGAAAAGTAAACGCGACATATTCTTGATATTCATTAGAAGTAATGAATAGTTTAAAGAGACGAATAAATTGTTTCCAGAATTAGTTTTGTACTGCCCAAATAGAAAAAAAGTATTTTACTTAATGAGAACCTGCGGTGGAAATTTTAACGGAGTTACTACAAAATAGCAAAATAAGCAATTAATTCACTGTCTCTGTATTTTCAATTGCTAGTTATTTTCAATCGGTTATTTAAAATAATGAATTTTCGATGATCTCGAAACTTGTTTCTTAGATCTAAACCCACTGGTCTCGTCCTAGTCACGAGCATACTATAATTTACAAACAATTTTTTTCTAAATAAATAAAAAGAAATCCTTCAATGTTATCAAATTTGAATGTTTTCGAAACTGGAGGTATTCAAGTGTCGGTATGAATGGATACAGCACGGCCTGCGAGCGGTCAAGGCGAACCTGCTTAATGTATCAACTTCAAAATGTATGCTCACATGTAATGCGTCATTAGTTAACGTATTTATATGATCTAACAATCATGTATCGTGAATACTAACGATTTGGTAATATAGTATTTTTGTAAAACTTTAAAGTCAGCTTTCCACTGATTTACTAACTAGCTTTTGCCCGCGACTCCGTCTGCGTGGAATTAAAAACAACAAAAGTGAGGAGCCTTGTTCTTCTATACTATACTCTACATCTATACCTAATTTCATCGAAATCCGTTAAGCCGTTTAAGCTACCATCTTTAACAAACATCCATCCATCCATCTAAACTTTCGCATTTACAATACTATAATAAGTATAGTAAGGCTACTTAATTACAGGATAAAAAAAAAACATACCACTTTTGTTAGTCTCTGTACTCTCTATCTCTCTTACAATATTGTTCTACAATCACTGTCGGTAAAATATTTGTATAATTTGTTAAATGAAGCAAATGTAATTTTCATTATAAATAACATCCCGTATAATTAACACATACTAAATAGCGATTAAAGTAATTATGACTTTATTTTTAAACAATTTAAGTGCTATGTCTGTTGATCACGCTATAAAGTCGAACGTAAACCAACGGCGAGTAAATAAACTCGCGATGAAGGAAATGCGCGCTCTACATTTTCCACTTCAGTAAACTTGTCAAGATTTGTAAACTGAGGCTATTCATCATTCCTTTAAAATAATCAAATCGCACCTTTCATAGAAATGATTAACTCAAAATTTATGTTATTTAGGAAATTGCGTTTAATGCTAGACAGAATATTTGAAACGAGAATGGCGATGTTCTATTTATTTTATTTTCATTCTAATGTGACGCGAATTGAATTAGTCGGATTTTTTGAAAATAATGTCGTTTATGATAAAAACTCCTTGAAGGCAAAACGCTGAGTCCAAGACAAAGCGACCTGGAGGCATACTATGGACGCCCTCTGCCCCACTTTGGGGACATAGGACAAGAAGAGAGATGATAAAAACTGAAAAAACATAAAGGGGCAATTCTTGTTCTGAATAAACGTGCGAAATATTCCTTTGCTTTGAAGTGCAGACACGAATAAACTACCTTGTTTAGGTAATTCTAAATTAATGTAGATTTTTTCTCATTTTCAACTCTTGTAAATCGTTAAATGGTTACTTAGGGAAAAAAAGTATTAAAATCTCAGTTAACCCGATGTATCTATCGTAAAATGCTATTCAGAAGTCAGTAGTTTACCGTATAATCTTACAAATAAAACGTTTAGCGCGACTTAAAATAAAATAACTTAAGTAAATATTTAACAAGCTCAGTGTCATTATTGTTATATATCATGGTTTGTTTGACTTACATACCAATATTCTCATGTTTTATAAAAAGGTTAAGAATCATGTGTTATGTAATATTTCAAAATATATTCATGTTGTTGACCGAAATGTTAACCATTCTCAATGATCTGAAGAATTAGGTATATACTGCGTAAAACTGTGGAAATGCGAAGGAAAATGAAAAATCTGTTTCATTTGATGATAAATATAATATACATAACTTACATTTTTATACGTGTTTACTTATAAATAAATCACAGTGGTAATTATATTGCGTATACTATTTAATTTCGTTAAACATCCATCACTGCACTTTCTGAAACAAAATGATTTTTATTTGTAATAATTATTAATTGAAAATAAAACAATTCAATATTAATGAGGTCAAAATTTCTTACCATTGTGATTTCTGGAAATATAGTACTGAGGTTGAAGTTGGCTCGGGAAGTAGGTGGGAAGGTAGCAAGGGAACGGTCGATATTGTGGCTCACACTCTGCATATTAGAAGACATTAAATGCGTGTTAAACAATTCCGGCTGATACTGACTACCCGCAGGTATCTGATTGCCGACATAGTTCGGAAAAGAAAAGTCTTCTGGAATATTCGGATGCCTTCTTGTTGGAGCTTTAGTTTGCCAAAGCATATGTGCAGAATCGTTCCATTCTTCAACCTCATTACCAAGCTTAGCTCTTTTACTGTTGCACTTTTTGCTCGATTCCTTTTTTGAACATTCCAATTTATGTTTTGTTGTTGATTCTCTCCTAGATCCTTTATATTGAGTTGGAAGAGGTTTGTCTTGTAGAAGGGATGTGTTAGCTTTAATTTTCAAATCGTCGTACTTGTAATTAGTATAATTACATTCAGTAGACTGATTGTAATCGATGAATTCACTTTGGAAATGTCCGCTTGTGTAGTTACCGGTCATCAGATTGCTACTTCCAGGCATAAAGTTGGAATAAAATGAATTGGATATAGTATTTGTGGTTGAATTATACAAAGTTGTGCCAGAAAATTGTTGACCTGCGTAACTATTATCAGGGTATTCCAGTAATGGAGGGAAATGAGATACTTGAGCGACTCCACTTTCTTGTGTTACGTTGAAATCATTGTATTTTTGTGGTGGCAACATAAATTTAGATATAGTAGTATCTTGTGTCTTTTGATTGCAGGGTCCACCTCGAATCAAAGCTTCCGCTGAATAACTTGTTTTGGTATTTTTGACGTTTTTATCAGATTTGTTGTTTTTCTGTTTGTTTTGTGTAAAGTGTCCCATAGTTTCATAATTTACGGGTTTGGTCTCATTAAACACGTAACATGGTTGCGCTAAGTGCGTTTCAAGACGAGATCCTTTTCGGTGGGAGTCATTGCTGATGTTTGGAATACTTTGTTTAGTGGGATTTTTTTGCGTGTCTACGTTAGCCCCTTGGTAGCGAGAGGGCATAACGTCGGAAGAGCGATTCATTAACTGTGTAACAGAGAAGAAGTTATTGCAATTTTGCAGATCTGTTTGTGGCAACGCCCTGTTTAAAGCATCATTCTTCTTTTTGTCATGTGGGCCAAGTGCTAAATCACCAACCAGTGTAGGTAAATTAATAGGCGGAGGCTCTATACTGATTTCTGTAGTACCGACTGGCCTTGCAGTTGGCCACACTTGAAATTCCTCTTGGGTGACTTGCGATGGGAAATTTTGCATATTGATAGGAAAATAATTCCCTCCATTGTGATCTTGCTTTTTCTGTGGTATGTTTTGAGGGTATAAAGGCTTGTGGTTATCCTTCACAGTTGCTTGATTTGGGTTGCAATTATTTTGCATTGGTCTTATTTCAGAAGTCATCCAATTAATGTGCATTTTACTCGGAGACTTCTTTGTGTATTTGTCGCTAACTATTGGTGGACCTTCTATCACAGGTTTGATCAGTTGATTTGGGGCAGTATCTGAAGTTAGTTTTTCGTATTGCTTTACTGTACTAGTTTTAAGGCTGACATTAGCTGTATTGTTGTCCATTGGGGCAAAGTTTTGTGGCTTAGGTGTAAAATTCTTAGAAAAGTTGTTACTCGTGTAAAAGGTCATGTCTTCGGACCATAAGTTAGTTGGCTGGGAATAAAAACTTGTAATAGCTTCAGGGAATGATGTTATTGCTTTACATGACATATCTTTCTTACTCGAGTTTGTAACAAGAGGTACGTGAAACTCAGGATTAAATGGATTATACGCTGTGGAATATTGCGATGGGGCGGAAGTTAAAATGTTATCTTTATTAAAAGTAGTTGAGGTTGTAGTGCAAGTAACAAAATCGAAACCCTTGTGCGACCAACCGAGGTCGATGTCGTAAGTTAATCTCGAGGGTCCTATCTTCATGAGATTTTCTTCCATATTAGAAAAATCTGATTTGTTTTTGGTAGTAAATTTCTCCATCGCACAAGGATAAAGTCCCAGACTATTGAATTCATGGCCTGATGAAATGTTACTAGTACTATAAATAGATGTTTTTGTTGAACTTAATGCATCACTTTTGTAGAAGAAATTATTACTACTTGCAACACTGACTGGTTGATTTGATTTAGATACATTACAATCAAAATCTAATGAAAATGTTGAATCAGTAAGAGGACAACTCGTTGGAGGGAGAGATGGCATACTCAAGTTCAAGAACGGATTGTCATTAGATGAATTCGTAATTAAAGTTGACACTTTAGGGTCAATATCCTTTGAAATATTTGCATTGCTAATAAACTTTTGTTGTTCTGTTGGTTTTTGCGTAACACTTTGATCGGTTTTAGTTATTTTTTCTTTTACATCGTGTGGTTTTGGAAAATATGGTGGTTGTGATGAAATCTCATTCCTCCTTTGATGATTTTCCTTTGGACTAGCTTGGATATTATGATGTTCTTCAGCAGGACTGTCTGCTCTGTTCCCACTAACTAATGGGAACGACATAAGGAATGCTGCAGTTGGTGAAGCAGCTAAAAACTCCTCAGCCAATTCTAATCGAGCATTGCCGCCATCGACTACATTATCACATAATGCAGTATCTAGTATATTTGGTAATTTATTTACCTTATCTTTCTCTACTAGTAATAACTCTTTTTCGGGACATATTTTGTCAGGTTTAGAGGACCCTATTGCATTTACTTCTCTTGACTCATTATTTAATATTTCATTAGGTTTTTGAACTATGGAAGTAGAAATTACTAAATCGGTACTACTTGTACTGATACTTGTAGTATTCGGCTCTGAATTTTCTGGAGTTTTCATTACGTTTTCACTCTCTTGTGGTTTATTAGTAAATCTGGATTCACTATTATTTTTTACACACATATTATTATCATTATTTTTATTTAATTCTTTGTTACAATCATTAGTGTTTGGAATTTCTGGAATTTCCTCAGCCACTTTATCTACCTTATTATTTATATTTTCATTTGGTGTTGTTATAGCCTCTTTAATGACATCTGATTCATTAGACACTGCAACTGTTTGCTTGTCAACTTTCTTAACATGTTTTCTTTTGACATTTTGCTTTGGTTTTACATTGTTTTTCTTAGTTTTGGTAGCTGACATTGGTCGGGAGTAAGCTGATATAGGCAAAACATTAACCATTGTAGTTTTTGTCATGTCTGCATTGTTTCTATTTATAATGGGTATTGCTGCTGGTTTATTTATTGGTTGTAAATTTGAATCTAAAAAGACAATAGTAGGTGGCACTGCTGGAAATAATAAGGGCCTTTGGGGGAAGGTAATATATGGTGCACTTGGCAGCATTACAATTGTATTTTCTATTCCTGAAAAAAGTATCAATTATATATGAATTCAATATTCCTACAGATTTTACATAAGAATAATGACTAGGATTACCAACCTTTTTTATTATTAGTGCTTGTTAAAGGCAACAGCTTTGGTAATGTTTGCATATTTTTATTGGGTGGTTTATCTTCGGTCAAAGGTTTTCCTTCAATCTTTTGTTTTACAGCTTCATTAGCAGAAAGGTTCTCTTTTACAGTTTTCTTTTTTGATTTTTGTAACATTACTAATTTCATATATTTGCCATCTGAAAATAAGATAATGGATAATAACTAAAAGGTTTACCTAAATTTTTACACATATTAAAGAATTGAGTTGTAATTGAATAAGCAAAATATTGACATGTAAATTAGACTTACTTTTGTTTTTTTTGCAAACCACAGCTGACACCTGGATACATGCATCCTTTTTATCTGGCTTTATATTTTTTTCGGCCTCTAGTTTCACCTGCAATGCCAAAATTTCTGCTTCTGAAAAAATATAATCACTTTTAAGTAATAAAGTAAGTAGCAAAAACCATAGCATTGGATTAAATCAGTAAAGTTGTTTCATTTACTATTAAACTTAGAATGAGAAATTATTAATAACTTACTTAACTGAGTCTTTTCTTGAACACATGTTGTTAGACATAATATTGCCTTTTGCACTATTTCTATTTTTGGATATTGTACATTATTTGATGCTTCAAATTGAGGCTTATCTTTTAATATATCCTTCACTATTTCACCTAACTTACTAATTGCATCATTAAATCTGTTCCTTCTTAAACGCTCCCATTCTCTGCATTGACTGAAAACAATACATTAGGTAAGGGGACTTCTCATTTAAGAATAACCTAACTTTCTTACACAAAATAACCATTTATGTTTGCTTTTAGTGTTAATCTAGTAATCATGATTATTTAATAAATTTATACACTATTAGGATTTTGTACAATTTGTCTGTTAATATCGACTGTTTTTAAAAAAAATATTTATGTAATTCACATAACACTGCAATGTTTATTAGTTTTGTATGGCATCAGTCAGGTTTGATCAGGATAAAATTATTTCCTTATCATGGAATTTATACCTGGGTGTCCGATGTTTGCTAGTAGTGGTTTCCATCTTCATTTATGAACCTAACTTTTCATTGTTTTAATTACACCTTAATATAATAACTATTATGGTATTAAAATGTTACAATGACAACAAAACATGACATGAACAGACGCCTCTGACATTTATATATTTCAGATGACACTGACACAAGATCGACTATAGTCACAGATAATTGACCAAATAGGCAAAGAAAACTGGAATAGGATGTTATGTACTGATAAGAGCTGGATTCTATGTACAAGGTAAATGAAATTCTAAAAGTGTGATTAGATCATTTTTATTATATTTACTTTGTCTTTTAAACGTTTTCATAAAAAAGAAGTTAAACATACGAACAAAAATAAAACCAACGAGATACGTTTATGGCTGTTTGACCTGTTTGGCAGGTTACTGTTTTGTCTTTGTTAGTTTTTGGTTTTTGTTGTGAGCTGTGTTCTGCTGTTCCGGAAATTATTATTTTAGTCATATTTTGGTAAATCAATTTAGCAGGTAAGAAATACGAATTTATATTTGTTCATCAGTGCAGATTTGTTCTTTTGTTCTCTTGTTTACTTTATTTTCCTAGACCTATATGTTAATATACATATCATATTCGTTCTTATCGCGTTTTAAATATTTCTCTCATTTCTTCGACGTAGTTTATTTAGTAAAATCTTTTACTTACTACACAGGACTAAAGTTAACATTTAATAGAATGTGTAATATGAAATTCTGTTCTAATTGTAAAGTGGGTGTGGGGAAAACCATTTCGCTTATGAGTAATGCACTTTACATTGTTTCGTTTAATAAATTTTAGTATTACTTCCGTTCCAGCTTCCAAAATGTCTCTTTATCCGTCGCTGGAAGATATGAATGTGGATAATATGGTGAGAAGTCAAATGGCTCAAGTACATGCTCCTCCACCATATAACCCAATGGCTATGCAAAGACCAACTACAGGACAGGTCTATCCAGCACTTGCTGACTACATGGGGCTGGAACTATCCCAAGATGCTATTGCGCTCAATATGCCAGAATATCAGATTCAAACTGTAAGTATTCAGTGTAATTAACAAAGATACTTCTAATAAGATTCTTATTGTTTTTAAGCTTGCTTTATATTATGTCTATTACATGCTTTGATATTACAAGAATATAATATTTGATTATCATAAAATATAGCTTGCAAAGTAATATTTTTAGTGTGTAATTTCATTAATTGTTTTAGATGCAACCATCAGGCTCATTAGCGACATTAGTTGCACCACTTTCATCACAATCTGTTAGCTTGGCCAAAGCTACTGTTACACAAGCTATACGCCAAGTTATACTGTGCAAAGACCGTGATGGTAAATGTGGGTTGAGGCTCCACTCTGTTAACAATGGAGTGTTTGTTTGTTATGTGGCTGATGGCAGCCCGGCAGCTCTTGCGGGGTTGCGCTTTGGGGATCAAGTACTGGAGATCAATAATGTGTCACTGGCAGGAATGACAATGGATCAGTGCCATGCAATATTGAAGAAGGCACCAACTAATGGGATCACTATGGCTGTTCGTGACAGGTATATAAACTATTTTGTAGATTTATCTTAATGTGATTTTGATTATTTTATTTGCCAATTAACATTAAATTTTTGAGTAAATTTTAGACAAAGTAGTGTATTGTAGTACAAGAATTTTCATTGCAAAACTACTAGTGTTGAAACTTTTTACATAGTTTTTCTTCAATATATTGAGAATTTTGCTTTTTCGTATGGTAAAATCGGTCAATACCTAATTCATCTGTTATTTGTATGGAATGTCTAATTATAATTATTTTGCTCAACAGCAGAGCATTTGTCTATAGAATAATAACCACTAATTTATCCTTAATATTTGCCAGTTGTTTATTGAAAAGGTTATTAATTACTGTTTTATTCATGTGTATGTCCATGTATCTCGATTTCAAAAGGATCTTAGAGATATTGTAATTAAAAAACTGTTATTGTGTGAATAATCATTTTTGATTTAGCATTCCTGACATCCCTCTGGAAGAACACATAGGCTACATACATATGTTTTTATTTTTTTATTCTAAGTCGCGGGCGTAAGCTAGTAAAATAATACCTAATGATTGCTATACAACTTTTAGTTAATGTAAGTTATAGTAATTTTGATACATCTTTTTTTTATTTCAGACCTTTTGAGAGAACTATCACACTTCACAAAGATTCCCTTGGCCATGTGGGTTTCCAATTCAAGGACGGGAATGTTGTGGGGTTAGTGAAAGACTCATCAGCGGCTCGCAATGGCCTGCTCACGGATCACCAGATATTGGAAATAAACACAATAAATGTTGTGGGCATGAAAGATAAGGAAATTGCTCGTGTTATTGAAGCAAGCCCGGCCGTTGTAAACATCACAATTGTTCCAGTTTATATCTACAAGCACATGATAAGCAAGTAAGTGCACACAGTAATGTGTCATGTACAGATAAAAGTTTACGATTTTGACCTTTAGGGACAATTTTCAATTTATATTATTTGCTTGCAGATGTATTTGCAAATATAGGTGTTTATTAAAATGCATAACTATAAAATTTTTGGCGGTAGGAAAATTTGTAACAAAGTTGAATTTATTTTGTTAGCTATGTATAAATAGTTTTTTCAACAATTTCAAATGATTGCATAATATTTTATCTGATTGGTATGTGACTCATGTTTGTTCTTAATCAACAGGATGTCGACTTCGCTGTTCAAGGCACAAGACCGCACACCCGCCGTTTAAAAGATGATTTTTTTCGTATTTCGATCACATTATTTCACCTACTAAGTACATCACAATTTTTTATTTATCACCCTTATAGATATATAGATTTATGTAATATATTTAGTATTTTAATAGTCAGTAGGGGCTGTGAGAATAAATTCTAAACGAAAATTTTACCTTGTTAGTGTTTGCGAGATGTTTTTTTTTAATTTGATGGCTTGACGAAATTTGCATATGAGATTATGAGTGTTGCTTATGTGTTTGATCTGACAGAGTTTGTTACACAGCTTTTACCAGAGATTTAGGTTTATTAAAATATTTATAGTTAAGATTTGTATCTGTTTACATACGATGTGCCAAATTTGGGCAGTGGCTGAATTCGTAATTTTCAATTGACGTGACATTTCATATTTTTTAAAAAAGTAATTCATTAATTTATTAAAAGTATTTCTGATGCTGGCAATGATTCAATTTGTATGAATATAGAATATCAAATATAATTCATAATTACATTCCTATTCATTTTTATATGACAGTTTTATAAACCTTGTTGTAATTAATGTTAAGTTTAACGTACATATATTGAAAATAATTATAATTTCACATTTTAAGACAAATAGATTTATAATGTAGTAAAACTATGCCATATGTATGAGTAATTTTTAATATGCAAGTTTTTTTCTAAACGCAAATAAATGTCCAAATAAAAAAAATGTTTTGTTTGTTGCCTTTTTTATACAGTATATTTACGAAATATTTGAAAAACCGTTCCTTTACCAGATTTCTGAGAAAAATTGCAAAATGAAATAACACCGACCTAGAAAGTACATGTTCCGGTCTTTTGGGAAATACAGAAATGTTCAAGAAACAAGAATAATATTGAAAGTCGTAATTTCGTAAAGCGAAATTTGTGGTTACGAGGGAATTTTCTTTTACGTTTCTACACATATTTCTTTTCGTACACCTTAATATCGTAGGTGAATGTAATGAAAATCACATTGTTTTGTTTTGTTACCGACGAATTAGTTGATTTTTTAATTAATTTTTATTAAAAAGTACTTTTACAAAACCAATTTTGATTAATCGATGTAGATACTTAGTCATAGAGAAGTAAAAACCAGTTGAATTTATTTTATTTATATTAAAAACAATTAACAATTATAATATTCTACTGTCATCACAATATAACAGACCCGAGTTAGATTAAGAAAGATTTATTACTATATAAATATGCACTGAAATACAATTATTTTATATAATATAAAATATAAAATATAATTAAAACATCAGAAATCAAAGTCACATTCACAAAATCTGATTATTTCAATTCAATATTTTTAGGTTTAAATTTTTATTATATGTCATTATTTTGTGACGACTTTTTTTGTAGTTCATACTTTTGTATCATTATAGGGTTATTTCTTGAACTATTTGCAACTAGAAAATTATGTTAAATGGGTTTTGAAAACTCCAATTTGGTTTTAGCACTATTTCCGGACAAGACCAAGACTTCGGTATAAAATAGCTGTCATTTTCTGATTGCGGGCAATTTTTCCGTGCGAAAAACTCCATCGGGTAAAGACTCCATAAAAGACCTGGAAAAGATTAATATAAATTAAAAGAAAAACGCAAAACTAATGTCTTATAGTCGTGATAGGAAATTAAATACAGCAAATAAACTTGTTAAAAACATAAGAATGACAAAAATGTTATAACAATTTTATTTGAGAAGTAATGAAGAATATAATACCAGCCGTTGCTCGTGACTTCGCTTGCGTTAAATTAAAAAAGCCTACGATACTCCTTGATAACGTAGCTACTTAATGGTGAAATAATTTTAGAAATCAGTCAGTAGTTTTTTAATTATTTCAATACATACAAAATACAAATCTTTCCTCTTTTTGTAATGTGGATTCATACCATTGCCTAAGAAGAAAGAGAGCCACATCAGCAGGTTAAGGAAACTGGGAAAGCGACGTCCAGTTGATGCTGTGAGTGGCAACATTATTAAGCCAAACCCTCCGAACTCCATCATAAGCACCGGATAGAAGAATCCAAAGGACAAAGACAGAATCACTTCATGTGCCACAGCTGATACCTAGAAATATACAAAATATATTGCGCTATATTTTCTCCTTATGAGAAAATAATGACTTTACATACCAAGTTAAAACTGAAGTTTTCCTTTGAGTGTAAGGAAAACTCAATCTTACTACGTAATTACGTTTCAATATAAATACTTGTGATAATTATAATTCCATTTAGCTGATAGATAAGTCTTTGTTCTCTAACTTTGTTTTAAATTTGAACCCGTTGCCAAGATACCGAGCTCGTACATTATAAATTAGGCGCGGAACAACGCGCAGGTCTACTCAATTAGACCTTAATATGTACAATTAGGAATGATTAAAAATGTACGAACGCCTAATATAATAATTTACGAATATGAGTAATAAAATTAAAACTTTCAGAGCAATTTTAATAATGTCAATCTAATACTGACTGGCTTAATAAATATGCAAAAGATTTATTATCGAACTAGCTGTTGTCCTCGATTTCGTCCACGCATTATTAAGATAAAAAGTAGCCTATAATATCCCCTCTATGTCAGCTACCCTTCAACGAGAGTCCTTTCGAAATCGGCCCAGCCGTTTTGGAGATTGCCGGAACAAACGCAGCTTGCGGCCAGCCAGACGGACAAAAAAAAATTAAATACGAGTTTTGTGATCGGAAACGCAAATAAATTATCTTCCCGAAATCTGCTTTTTTTTCTTTTGATATAACAAACAGAGACTCCAATTTTATCGTATGTATACATAGATAGATTCGAAATTTTACTGCCGAACATGGCTCCGCCATTCTACAAAGTTGGCACTAAAACATGTAACTTGTTTTGGAACCAGTCCTGGTAATTCCTTATTTAATATTACTTGATATTTCAATTGTTATTCTTCCTGGCTTAGTAGACACAGTGTAGTTTTTACAAAATAAAAATTATGAATCGAATGAATTCTAGTAAGTCTGTTCTGATGGAGTAAAATAACTTACAGCAAAAACTGTTAGTATGGAAAGTACTCGTCCAGCCCGCGGTGACAGCGGCTTGTAAATGTGGTCGCGCAACCACGAGTGTACCACACGGTTCCAGGCGCGGTAGTAGCGTGAGAACTGAGACGTTGTCCACCATTCCTGATATCAGATCATAACGTTATAATATATCAAATAGGTTAATGAATCACACAGAATAATTTATGATTTAGAAGTACACATCATTTTCTTCCGAAATTAACACAAAACACACATAATAGCGAAAATACAGTGGTGCAACATTTTGTCCTTTACTAAAAAGATTAAATATGCAATATAACTACTGGTTTGTTTATGTTCTGCTCGATACAGAGAATAAAGGCTCCCGAGAGACAACCAACTAATACCAATGTTGTTACGAAACCACATTTTTTAGGTAATAAATTAGATGATAAAAGTCCATTGATTACAATTGAGTATTAGTACACTCGTTACAGAATTGGTGTCGGGAGATTACAGTTATTTAGTTTAGCAGACTTCTCGACAATTAAGTACCGGGTTTAGGCCTTTCCTAATTAAATTACTTGGACGGATAATCCCCTTAACGTCTCCAATGTGGATCAGGGTCTATTTTACGTTCCTTGTTTCATTTCAAGATTGTTAAAGTCTTAATTTAATAGGTTTTTACATTAAGAAGTTTTTAAAAGCTTACTTCGTAAAAGAGTCGGTCGCCAAATGTTAGCATCTCAGCAAAAGCGTTGTGCCAAGCGTGGAGTAGACA